TATATATTAAAATTTCAAGAAGTTAAAATTGTAATTTTATCGACCGCATTATTTTTATTAATATTTTTTAATTTTGAGAATTTTGCAATAAATTCAAATGCTTTTTATTCTTTATTAAATCTTTTAACAATAAATAATAATTTGAAAATTATTTGTGAATTTTTACTTTAATTTTACATTTAAATCGTAATTAAATAACTAACAAAATATTGAAAAAATAAGTTTACTTTGGCTTAATATATTTAAAAAAATAACTTTTTAAATGAACGATAGCTTCATTTATGTATTTAATAATAGTAAAATAATTCCGAAATTGAAATTTTAATTAATGTTTCGTTTAACAATAATTTTTGACATTTTTGTAAATTAAAAAAAAAAATAGGTAAGTATAAAAGATGCATTTTTTCTAGGGTTCAGGGCTATTCTACGAATTCGTAAGTATGCCCATTTTATTTTTTCGTCGAAGCTACCCCAGTTAAAAAAAGTTTCTACGATGAATAGAAGCCGAGATATTGCAAAATTTTACAGCCCGCATCAACTTGAACTTTGGATTTCATTTTTCTCGCGCGCGCGACTCGCTTGGACAAGCTTCCCCCACCACCACGCCAGACATTTTACTTAGCAAGTACCTTCTCTTTAAAGGGCTCGTGAGTCGTTAATTTTCCACATTTCATAATTCATTTTTGACCCCCGTATATGTGTTATTATTACCTTTTTCACTAAGGTAAGTTGGGTTAGTCTATTTTCACTTCAGGAACCTCACATTACAGTATGGCCCATTCATTACAAAACACCCTGTATATTTCATAGATTTGCTCGCCCCTTACTGGTGAGTTTACGTAATTTTTTGTAAAAAAAGGCTGAATCTCAGCATTCGTTTCGTTTACATCTACCATGCCATTTCAGTTCTAGATTTAGATATTGAAACGTGGGTGGCTTCAAGGTAAAATGTTCGTTGAACATCTCGGAATTATGCAACGGAATGGAAATAAAGCAACATCTGAAAGCCAAGCATAGTAATATCAAGATGTAGGAGATTAAAAACTTATTTGCATTTCTGTCTAAATATCCAATATTACTAATGAGATTTCTATTATGTTGTTAGGTAAACACTTGTATTATTATCAGATTTACACGCGATTTACATTATTTATTATATGATTTTGTGTAAGTAATCTTGAAAGATGACAGTCTTACGAGTACTGTTGTGGTAAAATGACATTTGTTTTGCTAAATTGGGAAATAACGTGATTTATTTGTTTTGCGGACAAAGGAACTTTTCAACATTTCTGGTAAAATACCTTTCCCAGTGATTTATGCAACAATTTGTCACAACAATACATTTAAAGTTAATGGAATATATACGAGAAATATTTCAAATAGTTTCAGTTCGATACACATCATATTCAGAAAGATTTTTAGTTTTTTTTTTTAATATTTAAAATAATCTTTTCAAATTGGTTATTTTTTTGTTTTGTAAAGACATTTTTGGGTTAATTTGAGCAATCTCACACTATGTCTTATATAAGACTGTTAATGCAAATCTCTAATTTCAATAATTACAGCGATATCCGTAATTATATAAGAAAATATCGGTGCCAGAACTATTCCAGCGATCGCAATGCATGACTAGAGAAGTAGTTTCCATGATTTATCAATACAATTAATAATTGTACAATTTATTGAATTGATGAGAACATTTTTCACGAAAAGAAAATTTTGCAGGCATTTTCCAAGACGATGGAATAGTACGTGGTAATGTGCATCTTTGTAAACGTCAAAAATACTTTTTGTTCGATTCAATTTATTAGTAATGACGCTGTTTCACAAAATCCCGATTTTCTCAAAAAAAGTAAATTTTTCGAAAAATTTGCAAGAGTAAAACAAATTTTTAAATAAAATTTCCGGTAGCACTGGTAAAACTATTTAATAATTGGCATGCTGATAAAAAAATGCTGAAATATTATTGTTTTTCATAATTTAACACAATACCTCTTCAATGGTACATCCAAAAAAAGTGTTATATAACAAATCGGCAAATTTTAAGATCCTCTACAGGTGCCTGCTGTGCTGTGTCGGTAAGGTTATGAAACACCCTGTATAGATACAATTTTATAATACGTTGTTCTAAGTTATAAAAAATTGTAATTTCCAAGGATGTAGTTATATTAACTCTAATATTCTGAGATATGTCGTTATTTTATAATACTTAGTTAATAACATAGATATTTACACAAAATTAGATGCCAAGAGAAATAAGTAGGTAAAGCTAATGTATAGTTCGTCGAAGTTAAAAGATTTAACAAAACGTTTCTTGAAATTTATATGCAACTTGCATACATTTTGTTACATAAAACATAAAGAGTCCATTTTTATTTGAGAATAAATAGAAAAATAATAGTAGTTCATTCGTGCCTATTTACTTCCTCCTCATTTTAAGATAACAATTTTTTTTTGAAATAGTGAAACAGCTGGAATTTTATTTAATAAAGAGAGGGCGGCGGAAAAATTTAGGTACGAAGTATGAAAATGTGCTTAACATTACTTTTTATAGTGAAAGTCCATTCTTCTGCTTTTGTCCGAAATAAACATTTCAATTACTTTACAATCAATTGAAACTTTTACAATTTAAAAAAAACACAAGCAATACGTAAGTAACAAAATTTTACACCACACCTGTAGGCTATTGATTATAGGATTTTGAAAGGAACTATGACGTTCAAGAATTAGAGGGTGGAAATTGGATATAGGGGTGAAAATGCACCCCTTTCAGTTTTTTAATTGTAGCTCGAAAACGAAGCAAAATTTCGCTATAGTTCATGGGAAAAATTATTTAGATAATTGAATTTCCCATCGAAATGGCGTATTTAAAGATTTTGAAAGAAGAATTTTATGTAAAAATCGTTCGTAAACAATTTTAAAAAAACAAAAAATCAGATTTTTTTTATTTTTTTTCTTTGACATTTTTTTTTAGTAGAAGTAAGCAAAGAAAATTGCTGTACAAAAAAACTATATAAGATTTCCTTTAAAATTATGCATTTTTAAAGTTATAACCGGTCAAACTTAAATATTTTTTAGATTTTCGTCGTTTTTAACATAATAATGATTATAATTATTATTTTTACAGCAAATTGATTCTTTACTTAATAAAAATTATTTTAAAAGTTTTATTTGTATAATAAAGATTATCACAACTTAGAGTCAGAAAAGTAAAAAAAAAAAATAAAAAAATCTTATTTTTTGCTTTTTTAAAATTGTTTATTAACGATTTTTTGCATAAAATTTTTCTTTTAAATATTTTAAATAAGCCATTTCGATGGGAAATTCAATTCTCTACAAAATTTTTCCTAAGAACTATACCGAAATTTTGTTTCGTTTTCGTGCTGTATTTAAAAAACTGCAAAAGTGCATTTTCACCCCTATCTTCAATTTCAACCCTCTAATTTAATAGCACTCCGCGTTTTTTTCATTTTTAATGACCCTTCGAACAAGTCATGTGATGAAAATCCTTGAACGTCTTATTTCCTTCCTTTTTTTTTGTAAAAAATGAGAATTAAAACGTATAAGGGCGACGAAAATCGAAAAATTGGCTACGTTTGAACGGCCATATATTATATCAGCCAATTTTCATCCAAAAATACTTTACAACCTCTTGTTTTGAAGGAAATTTTATCTACTTTTTTTTATGAAGCAATGCCTACACCTATCTTTACTCAAAAAAAAAACTAGAGGCAAAAAAGTAAAAAAAAACAAATAATCGAATTTTTACTTTTTTTCAAATTTCGATGGGAAATCCAATTCTCTAAATAATTTTTCCTATGAACTATACCGAAATTTTGCTTCATTTTCGAGCTACAATTAAAAAACTGAAAGGGGTGCATTTTCGCCCCTATCTCCAATTTCCACCCTCTAATTTAATAGCACTCCACGTTTTTTTTTTATCTAAAATGACCCTTTGAACGACTCATACAATAAAATTGCTTGAACGTCCTAGTTCCTTTTAACCCTTTTTTTTTTTGAATATAAATCAATAGCCCACTGAACAAACTGCGTTTAATAAGAAGAAAAAATGCGTAGTAAATGTGCACTACTCCTACTCCGTCTTCCACTGCTGCGCGAAAGTAACCATGACCACCGCTGTAAACACTTTACGGAAAAAGAATTTTTCAAACGGATTTCGATCCTTACCAAAATTGCATACGTCCATGTCCACGGCCGGCAAGGTCCTCATGTATTCCCTGCACTGCCCATGACCTACCATCCCGTAGCATTCTTCGTTGTTCCTCGCGTTCTCGCTACAGCAGTCCTGGCTCTTCAGGTTGCCGGTGCTGGCCAGATCGTGCATCAGGAGTTCGCTCCACGCCCCCAGAAGGGCCGTGACCGACTCGTGCGCTGGCGCCGGGTTGTTTTGAAGGGTCGAGGCCACGTCGATGGGGCTGGGGAGGTTCTGGCTGTTAGCCGACTGCTTGGGCTTGTACTTTCCTGGAAAAGAGAGAAGGAAAAGTTGTGGTGAAAAGTTGTATTCAGCTTTTGATTTTTTTTCCTTGAAACATTCTCAAAAAAATCGTCCTTCAATATGGAAAATGAGACAGGTCCTAGAGTCGGATCTTTTTTATTCTACTTCTATTTATTTATTTATTTATTTATTTCGTTTCACCATTTTGGACACATTGACATGTATATATGGTAAGTCACATTTGTAAATACACATTAAAAGTAATCTACATTCACGTCACAACATAGAAAAATTTAAAATTTGAACTTGCGTTATGAAAAATACTTCACATTTACAAGGAACTAAATTAAGCGTACAATGTAAACTTTTATCACAAAAATAGCAATGACAATATGTATCTATTGCCTGAAATTCTATTACAGTCACTCAATTATTCTTTTCATATTTGAGATATTCTAATACACTATAAAAGGCATTACCCAATAAAAATTCTTTTATTTTGTTTTTAAATTTACTATATCACGTAATAGTTTTAATATTGTTTGGCAGTCTATTGAATAAAACACTGGCATTGTAATATGGGGAGCGTTCAAAAAAAGTGGTGCGATGTTTTGGTATGCTTAATAATGAAACCCCATGCCTAGTGTTGTATGAATGGTAATATGAGCAAGACTTAAAAAGATGTTCATTTTTTTTAGCAAAAGTAATACATTTCAATATATATATATCGACGGTAAAGTGAGGAGTTTTTTTTCTTTGAAAATAGGTTTACAACTGTCAGTGGGCAGTACTCTATACAGTGTATCCCACCGGGAATCGCCGCGTTCGATATCTGGAAAAGTACTTACTTGAAAAATTTGAAAATTTGGCAAGTTATTAAAATCGGTGGGGGAAATACAAATAAATTATTTTCAAGGTCATAGCACTTCCGGTTATACCGGAAGTCGACGCCATCTTCGTTATTTTAAATGGAACACCCTATATATTTTTGCATTTTTGGATTCTACTTGAAATTCTAAGGTCACTTTGTATAACAAACCTAGTTCCTGAAATTTGTAGTTTTTGAGATATTGACATTTTTATGAAAAATTTGATAGGTGCAAGGTTGTGCGAGGTCCTCTGTATTTTATTCCAGCAATTATATATCAATTTGAGATTCGGTATGTGAGTAGAACACGTATGGAACAAACTTCCACAATATCCATAAATTACAAAATATGATACCGAGTGTTTAATTTTCGACTGTACATTTTGATAACTTCAAAGAGTTATAACTTTGTTAACTTAAATCGAACACCTTGTATTTTTGTGGTCTATCTTGTGCAGAAATTAATTATCTTTCACGTGATGTAGGCATTGTAGGGGATGTGGTTACTAAGTTTACAGATAATAGCAATTTTGACTTTTATTTTTCAATTTTCACGTTAATTTAATTTTACCAAGGGGTCTATGAGTAGGAACAATCGTTATTGACAATCAAACTATTAAACAACGAGTTGTCAAAGTGTGTAGTAAAATTTTAGTAATGATAATTATTTTAATTTGTTTATTATTTTTACGGACAATGTAACAAAGCAATATCAAGAACGTGATACATTTGCAACGCGATATCCAGGCCAAGTAAACCCCTAAAGCGGAGTATATCAAAGCGTCTAGTAGAATTTCTTTGAAATTTCGGATCTGTCATAGTAAAATCAGATAGATGAATACTTGTTGTGGATAATGATTTTGTTAAACACATTTGGTATTTGGTTCTACAGGTTATACAGTGACGTTGCAAAGAACTCCTGTAACATTATGGGAAAGTCACATTAAAAAAAAACTAGTTGAAACTAAAGACAAAATAGAATCGGTACTAGATAAATTTCTAATGCAATAAATGTTCCAAATTCCGGCCTGCAACTTCCAAGCATTTCTCACATCTATGAATGAATCCTTCATGAGTAGCTCGTCTAATTAACAGTGGAGATAGATTTTGGAACGCATCTCTGACCCTCTGAATGCAGTCTTCCTTTGTAGTTAGTGGAGCTTCGTAGACTTTGGACTTTATAGTTCCCCAAACAAAATAGTCTAAAATAGATAAATCTGGCGAACGAGGAGGCCACAAGAAAGGTCCATTATTTGCAATCCACTGATCGTAGAAACTCTGCTGAAGAAAATTGTTAACTATGTAACCATTATGTGGAGGTGCGCCATCATGTTGATAAAACAGCTTCCTGTGTTCTTCTAAATTCAAATTTTCTAAATAGTTGTTGTCAAGATTTTGTAAGATATGCAGATACCTTTCACCTATAATAAAATATTACTAAGTTTTAATTAATTTTATCACATTCTTTTACTTACTATTTAAATTATTATCATAAAATTCTAGTGCCACGGCTTCATTATTTCTTATGGCACAGTAAACATTAAATTGCCAACTATTTTGGAAATATCGTTCCCGAGGATTTGTGTCACACCAGTAATGCGAATTATGTCTATTAAATAATCCATTTTCTGTAAACTTGGATTCATCACTCCATATAATATTGTGCAAAAAGGAAATGTCATCTTGGTATCTCATCAACATAAACTCGCAAAACTGAATCGGTTTTAAAAAGTCTGCTTCGTTTAATTTTTGCACCATATGTAAAGAATATGTGTGAAATTTATGTTTATGAAGAATTTTGTGAATCGAACTTTTAGCAAGACCAGATTCCAGTGCCGCTTGCTTAATTGACATAGTTGGAAATGCTTTAAAGTAACCTAATATTGCAATTTCGACATTTTCATTATCCACAACAGGTTTTCTTCTATCCGGTTTTATTACTACAGATCCGAAATTCCTAAAATTTTCTACCAGACGCTTTACTGTACTTCGCGAGGGCATTACCTTGTCTGGATATCGTACTGCAAATGTATCACATGTTCTTGATATTACTTTGTTACATTGTCCGTAAATAATAAATAAATTAAAATAATCCTGATTACTAAAATTTAAACGCTGGCCAGGCATCTTGTGTAATAATTGCTTCTTTACTATACACTATAATTTGACACCTTATTGTTGTTTGATAGTTTGATTGTCAATAACGATTGTTCCTACCCATAGACCCCTTGATAAAGTTAAGTTAATGTGAAAATTGAAAAAAGTAAAACATTGCAATTATCTCTAAAATTAGTAACCACAGCTCCTACAATGCCTACATCACGTGAAAGATAATTAACTTCTACACAAGATAGGCCACAAAAATACAGGGTGTTCCATTTAAGTTAACAAAGTTATAACTCTTTGAAGTTATCAAAATGTACAGTCGAAAATTAAACACTATGTATCATATTTTATAATTTATGGATATTCTGGAAGTTTGTTCCATACGTGTTCTACTCATATACCGAATCTCAAATTGATATCTAATTGCTGGAATAAAATACAGAAAACCTCGCACAACCTTGCATCTGTCAAATTTTTCACAAAAATGTCAATATCTCAAAAACTACAAAATTTAAGAACTAAGTTTGTTATACAAAGTGACCTTAGAATTTCAAGTAGAATCCAAAAATGTAAAAGTATATAGGGTGTTCCATTTAAAATAACAAAGATAGCATCGACTTCCGGTATAACCGGAAGTGCTATGGCCTTGAAAATATTTTAGTTGTATTGCACCAACTGACTTTGATAAGTTGCCAAATTTTCAAATTTTTCAAATAAGTACTTTAACAGATATCGATCGCGGTAATTCCCGGTGGGATACACTGTATATTAACCTTAATAATCGTTTTTGAGCTATAAAAATACGATTAATTTCTCTTTCACGACCCCACCATATTATATTATACGACATATATGAATATGCTAGAGCGTAATATGCGTTTAACATACAACTTTCATCAAGAGAGGATTTTAGTTGCAACAATGCGAAATATGCTTTATTCATTTGCTTACATACGTGGTCAATGTGATTATCACAAGTCAGTTTTGAATCAAAATATGTTCCTAGAAGCTTGATGTTTGTTGAGAGTGTAAATGTGCTATAGTCCAATTAACTAAGCCTTTAAATCGAAATTTTGTCAACTTGGCTGAATTTTTGATATGAGTTAGTTTAAGGTATATTATAACAATAAGTGAGAGTAATTTTTTGTTCAACCCCCGGCCAAGGGTGGAAAAAGATAAAACAAAGGGCTTTTTCAAGATAACTCAAAAAGGGTAAGAGCTAGAAAAAAAAGTTTTTCATGAAAGTTGTAAAGCAGACAATTCTACATAAAAATGGCCTCTTAACTTTTTCTTGTACTATTACAATTAACAGAGTTAGGGAGGCTAGAAGTTAAGGGAAGATTTCAGAAATTTAAAAAAAATCATAACAAACAGAAAAATGATTGAATTTTGTAATTTTTTTTTTCAATCTGCTCTAAAATATGTAACTTTTCTTTTCAGAGAAATAGATATATTTTTTAATTTTTAATAAGAAAGTTATAACAAAAAATCAAATTTTTAATCGTTAATTTTAATGATTTAACAAAATTAAATTTCTGAAATCTTCCCTTAACTTCTAGCCTCCCTAACTCTGTTAATAACTTTTTTTCTAGCTCTTACCCTTTTTGAGTTATCTTGAAAAAGCCCTATGTTTTATCTTTTTCCACCCTTGGCCGGGGGTTGAACAAAAAATTACTCTCACTTATTGTTATAATATACCTTAAACTAACTCATATCAAAAATTCAGCCAAGTTGGCAAAATTTCGATTTAAAGGCTTAGTTAATTGGACTACTATGTATAATGTAATGACATGGAAGTAGTCTCAGTATACCGAAGTTAATTATTAATGTTTTATCCTCATTTAGCATAAATTTATTACGATCGCACCAAGTACTGAATTCGCCAATTACATTTACAATCTTCTTACGAAGTTCCTCGGGGGTACTGGCAGAAACTGTGATTGTAGTATCATCTACAAACATGGTCACATGGCCATTTGTAATATAATCAGGTAGATCATTGACATAAAGCAGGAACAACAAAGAACTTAGCGAAGACTCCTGCGGAACTCCTAGATTTAATTTTTTCCCCAATCTCAGTGATTTGGCATGAAATGTCGCATAAATGTATGTAAATGTTATATTTGTGGCTTTCATAAACAATCCATTATTTGGAGAAAGCCGCGGTTAAACAATTTTTCCGATCTCTCATTTAAAAAACATCAACATTCGCGGTTAGTTAAAAAAAATCGTTAAATAAAACGTTTCTACGTCTAGTCCGCATAAATCAAGTTATCTAATCGCAGTGGGTAGACAAAAGTCCGACCGGTTCAAGCGGAAGACTTTTTCTTTCCTCCGGCTGGACGAGGAAATAAATGAACTTGACTGAAAAGTGACGGAATATCACCGCAATTTCTCCGAGACAACGGAGAAAGTGAACCTCGCTCATATATGACCGGTATTCCGGTCGTGACGTCATCGGTATTATAGGAATTAACTGTAACGCGAGCGGTGTTGCCGCGTCGCCGTGATTTTCCCTAGATAGTCCAGTGGTGAGGTCCAAAATATCGTGATTGACGTCGTTTTCCATAAACCCCAAAATATTTTCACAAATCGGCTACAAATTTGTTGCAGAACAACACATTAAAATGCATAAGCGCCACTTAGTGAGGAAAAAATGTTATTAAGAATTTACGTCGCAAAAAATGCTTTTTAATTTCTTCAATATCTCGGTTGGGTCGCACTAACTGCAAAAAATTATTTAAATAATAATAATTAAATTTTTTATACCATCGCAACAATTTTTTTTCGGAGTGTTTATGTGCCTTCATTGTTAAATTTCTGTGTGATATTAAGGGGGAAACCACATTAGGATTAGGAGGCTGATTTTCAGGCGTTTCTCATGAATTTTTTTGAGTGAGACAAATTGCTCAGAGTTAGATCTAACTTTGACAATATTTTATCAATATTTTATGCTCCATTTACAAATTTTTTCAAGTCAATTGTGTTGAAAATACCAAGGTTATTATGGGCTGGGTCGCAATTTTGATCTGAAAACAAATAGTTATTTATACTATAACGAAGGTAGGTATTTTTTACCAGTCGAGGACGATTTTGCGCCCGAGCGGAGCGAGGGCTGGCAATACAGTCCGAGACTGGTAAATTATACTTAACTGCTGCGTGGTGCATAATATTTTCTCTGCTCTCGCAGTTCTTTATGGTTCATGAAATAAAGATTAGCTTATATTTTGAAGACATTTCTTAATCAATTCATTTTGACATTATTCGAAATCTTGCAAAGTCGCCTTGGTTGTTTGAAATTTGTCGTTTCTAAGGTGTTTTATAAACAAAGCTACATAAAAGTTGCAATTTTGCTGGTTTTGAATTATTATTTCTAAATGAGAAATTGAAAGTGCAGCAAATGCTGCCTACGAATTTTTATTGCCCGACAAGTCGAAAGTGCGCTACGGACGAGCATATAGAAATTTCAAAGAATCGTGCCAGAACAAAAATACTGGTGTTTCTGAAATGTCACTGCTAGCATATTTCATGGAGAAGTTAAGAACTTTAAAATCACCGGCGAGTTTATGGAGTGAATACTCAATGATTAAGTCAACTATTTTCATAGAGGAGAAAGTGGATATATCAAAACACCTCAAGCATTTTTCAAACGTAAGAATGACGGCTGTACACCTGAAAAGTCAAACATTTTTACAAGAGAACAAGTCAACGAATTTCTCGTTCAGGCACCCGATAACACTACACCAGGAACATTAGCGAAAATAAAAGAGAAACTCGAAAAAGTCCTATCCGCTAGATTATTGTAAAATTGTCTAAAGGAACATAATACAAGACATCTCTCGTCTCGTGAGTCAAAAACTTTTATTAGCTAACTTTTCTATTTAAACAAATAAGTGAGGAAAACAGTTTTTTCACTTTGCAGGGAAAACCATCAATTTTAGCGAAAAGTGACTCACAGACAGCTTATAGGGAGTAAAATTATCTACAAAATAAGACTGGTTAAATTAAAATCGGTTAATAAACAAAAAAGTTATTGCAAAAAAACA